GAAGTAGGTGTTAAAAAAAATAATTTCACTGCAGTTAAATATGACGCGAGGAGACCTTTTGCTAACTCCCAAGCCCTCATTCTTCGTTTACTCCCAGGAAACTAAAGCAAATATCTATAAAAGGACAAAAACAGGATGCACGGTGGCTGAGATGTGTGGTATTTGCACTCTGTCATTAAAACACACCTCTCTTTTGGTAAGCCTTTCTCCCTATGTACACCCATTTTATGCCCAGATTTCAAAAATAGAACAAATATTTCATTTGTTTGATTTTGTTGCAGCAGATTTGAGCTCGAAGGACAAGTTGAAGTCCTGTTGCGCAGGCTGGATGTGTTAGGAATGGAATCTCCACCAAAAGTCAAGTTCAGAGGTCTCAAGCAGATACAAATTCCACAGCAGAATTAGGAATAGCACCTAGTGGTGGAAACAGCCCAAGAGTCTATCAATAGGTGCCTAGATAAACAAACACATGCATGTACACATACATACACATAAATAATAAACTACTGTGCAGCCTTTACAAGGGAATAAATGATAGACTATTGTGCAGCCTTTAAAAGGGAATGAATGATAGACTATTGTGCAGCCTTTAAAAGGGAAGGAAAGAGACAGTGTGGTACATGCTACAGCATGAAAAAAGAATCTTGAAGATATTGTGGTGTGTGAAACTGTGATTGCCGGGGGCTGAAGTAGGGGGAGGGGCATGGGGAAATGTCTAATGATAGCCGAGTTTTGACAGGAAAGGTTCCAGTGATTGTCAGTGATGGCTGAATACCAAGGTAAAATAGGCAAAGACAAGCCACTGGATAGGGTTAAACTGGTAAACTGTATGCTGTGCCTAGTTTATGACAATAAAAGAAACCCAATGTGCTCATTGGATCCACACCAAAATTTTCCTTGACTTATAATGTTCTGAAATATGTCTCATCAACGATCACTGCTCTACAGGGAAGAAAGATCTGCCATGGCTGCCTGTAGCTAGAGTGTTCTTGCATTGCCCACAGTCAGGACAAATCTCTGTCACCCACCAGTCGCACAGTCGCTCAGACCCAACCAAGTAAACACAGAGACTTATATTGCTTACAAACTGTATGGCCATGGCAGGCTTCTTGCTAACTGTTCTTATAGCTTAAATTAATCCATTTCCATAAATCTATACCTTGCCATGTGGCTCGTGGCTTACTGGCATCTTCACATGCTGCTTGTCATGGCGGCGGCTGGCAGTCACTCCTTCACTCAGCCTTCCACTTCCCAGAATTCTCCTCTCCTTGTCCCGCCTACTTCCTGCCTGGCCAATCACTGTTTTATTTATTGACCAATTAGAGCAATTTGACATACAGACCATCCCACAGCAGTTGCCATAGTGTGTTCTCACTGCAGAATGGACCACAGTGTCCGAGGAGCAAAGTGACTGCCTCCTTCTTGCTAAGGATTTGGACAGTTAAGCTATAACTTCCTTTTGAAGTGAAAATAATGTTTGGAGGGAGAAGGAACTGGCAATATATAACCCAATAATGTCCATTGTGTTGTTTCTAACTAAACCCATTTTTATGGCTAGGCATTCCCTCAGTTTTCTGTACTAGTAGTGAGAAAGACTTGAAATTATATTTTATTCTTGTTTCCCCTAAGCAGAACTTTCATAAACCACTCATGGTTTTATAATTGACCTCGATAGTAAAACGAAATGTTCATGGTTTTCCTCTCTATGTGGTAAATTATATAGACATATTGCCATCTTTATACAGAGCCATGGGTTAATAATGATTGACTAAGGACTGGAGAAATGTCTCAGTGGTTAAGAGCACTGGCTGCTCTTCCAGAGGAGCCTGGTTCAATTCCCAGTATCCTCATAGTGGCTCAAAACCATTTCTAACTCCAGTCCTAGGGGAACCAATGCCCTCTCTGGTCTCCTTGGGCACCAGGCATGCCTGTGGTATACAGACATACATGCAGACAAAACACCCATACAAATAAATAAATAGATAGATAAATAAGATTTAAAGATGATGATTGCCTAGAAGTCTGGGACTGCACATCAGTCAGTAGAGTGCTTTCCCAGCATGCACAAGGCTTGAGGTTCAAATGTCAACACTGCATACAACCAGACATTGTGGTACCAACACATCTGTTATCTCAGTTCTCAGGAGGCAGAAGCAGAAGGATCAGAAGTTCCACGTTATTCATAGCTTCATAGCAACTCCAAGGCCAGATGAGTTATGTGATACCCTGTTTCAAAACAAAGCATTTACAAACAAAAAAACTTAATGGTTGACTACAAGAAAATATTAAGTTAGACTCTTAGGTTATTCTGTCACAGATTTGTTTAATTAAAAATGCTCCATTCCCTGGAACTCTGCCTCTCGGTGTGGACCTAGTTTTCTCACTGTCTTAGTTAGGGTTTCTATTGCTGTGAAGAAACACCATGACCACAGCAACTCTTATAAGGGAAAACATTTAATTGGTGGCTTGCTTACAGTTTCAAAGGTTTAGTCCATTATCATCATGGTAGGAAGCATGATGGCATGCAGACAGACATGGTACTGGGGAGGTATCTGAGAGTTCTATGTCTGGATCGGCAGGCAACAGGAAAAGAAAGCTGCTCTAGGTCTGGTTTGAGTCTCTGAGACCTCAAAGCCCACCCCCAGTGACACACTTCCTTCAACAAGAGTATACCTCCTAATGTTGCCATCCACTATAAGCCTATCGGGGCCATTTTCTTTCAAACAACTATAATCACCAACCCTATCAGCCTTCCTTTCTAACCCATCTCCATTCCTTTCTGTCACCCAAACCCAGAAACACCTTCTACCAAAGATTCCCAGTGACCACACAGGTTTTGGACTCAGACTGGGGTCTCACTCAGCCATCATCAGAGAAGTTTCTTCTTGTAGCAGATGGGAACTAATACAGAGACCCACAACTAGACAAGTTGCAGAAAGTGAGATACTTTGAAGCATTCAGTCCTAAATGGGATGCCTTTAGAAAACCCCTTCCTTCAATGATCTACGCAGAAGAGGAGGCAAAAAGATTATAAGAGCCAGAGGCGAAAGATGACTTCAAGGAAACAGTGTCTTCCAGACACAATAGTGCAGAGGAAAAACTAGTAGAATCATTGAATTTAGTGCTGTGGAATAATCCTTTCATACACTGTAAAGATTGTTGCCCTCATTGGTTTAATAAAGAGCCAACTGGCCAATAGCTAGGTAGGAAGAACTTAGGCAGGAGAGCCAGACTGAGAGAACACTGGAAAGAAGAAGGATGGAGTCACCAGCCAGATGCAGAGAAAGTAGGATGTGTAGAAGCTGAGGTAACAAGCCATGAGCCATGTGGTGGCTTGTAAATTAATAAATATGGGTTAATTTAAGTTGTAAGAGCTAGTTAGCAGCAAGCCTAAGCCGTCAGCCAAGCATTTACAATTAATAATAAATCACCTTGCTGTTTATTGGTGAGCTGGCAGTCCCAACAAAAGACCCTGCCTACAGTCTAGGGTAAACATTAGAATGAAACAGTTGTTTTTCACAGTGTCTAGGGTAAATATCAGAATGAATAGTTATTTTCTAGAAGTACGTAGACCTTGAAGAAATTATTGTGGAAAACAGTGATTATTTTGTTATCTATAGAGTTTTTCTGAAGGGATTTTATAGCCTTTGCATGACTTTGGTCACAAGACTCTCCTGGCACACCTGGAGCTCTTGGATTATTGGGTACTGCAAACAGTGCACAATAAGGAATAAAGTGGCAGGAATGTGATGCTTTCCTTCAGCGAACTTATAGACCAGATCAGGGCTTTGGAATGAGGAACTTGTTTTACCCAAACAACAACTTTTGTGTAACTATCAATAAATATGCCTTTGCATGGCTGTTTGAGGTTCAGTTTATAGAAACTGTTCCTCTCTGCTGCCAGAGAGCCTAAAATCCATCTTGGAGTGACACCCTTTCTTTGACCTACCCATGCAACAAAGAACACCAGACACAACAAGATTGATGCACATATGAACTCACAGAGACTGTAGCAGCAAGCACAGGGCCCACACAGGTTCAAGTTAGACAGAGTCCTAGCACTGAGAGGGAGAAGTGGACATAGCCCTACCCCTAGACAAGCTATCTCCAATTGATATCCACTTGCAAAAGAAAAATTAGTTTTCTCCAACGGAGTCTTACTGGGTATATAAGCCATACCTCAGGGTAGGCCCAGGCCCAGTCCAGTACAAAACAAATTCAGTAGCATTTTTGTAGACTTTTTCTCTCATTTTTCTTTGCTTGGGTATTTTTTTTTTTGTCTTAATGATTGTCTTAGTTAGGGTTTTCATTGCTATGAGGAGACACCATGACCACAGCAACTCCTATAAAGAAAACATTTAATTGGGGTGGCTCACTTACGGTTTCAGAGGTTTGGTCATTATGGCAGAGAGCATGGTGGCATGCAGGCAGATGTGGTGCTGGCTACATCTTGGCTTGTAGGGAAAAGGAAGTTGACTGAGACACTGAGTGGTATCTTGAGCATAGGAAACCTCAAAGCCTGCCCCTACAGTGATACATTTCCCCCAAGAAGACCATACCCATTCCAACAAAACCACACCTCCTAATGTCACTCCCTATGAGATTATGGGGGCCAATTACGTTCAAACTACCACAATGATCTTTTGCTTATACATTTTGATTTCCATTTTTGCATTTTTGTGGGGCAGGGGTTGTGTGTGGTTCTTGATTTTTTTTTCTTGGTTTTGTTTTTTTGTTTGTTTTTTTAAAGACAGAGAGAAAGGAAGGATGTGGAGTTGGTGGGGGGAGTTGGGGCGGATCTAGGAGGTGTTTGAGGAGGGGAAAATTGTGATCAAAATATACTAAATGAAAAAAGAAGAAACATTTTTAAAAAGCCTGTTTCCTTCTTTTTATATATGCATATATATGTTTAGTTTTCTGGTTGAAAACCAAGTATATAAATTATAGAAAATTCAAGAAACTCATGAGAGCCCAAAATATCCTGTGGGGGCACGTTGCAATGCCTTTCAGCGGTCTATCCCAGCAGTGTGGTAGACCAGATGTCTGCTTCCACAGTGCCGTGCTCATTAGAGCTGTCTGTTGTGATGGTTCCTGCAGGTAAGGCCCCAGGCTTCTCGGAGCTGCTCCATCCACCAACTTCCTTGTGATCAGCCAATGGCTCTGCTTCACAGCCTCCAGAAGGACTCACTTTCAGGGGAGGAATTCAGTGGTCTCTTTTAGCGCCCTTTAAAAATCACATCTTGAAACGTTGTTTTGAATACAAACTGTTTATTTGGGAGGCAATCCCAAGAAAAGGTGATAGGCAACTGAGAAAGCAGAGGAGACTAGAGAAGCCAAGGAAGGGGGTTGGGGATTACCAAGTAAGCTTTCCTTAGGGACAGCTGCCATTTAATCTCTGGGGAAATTTCAGGCGGTCAAGAGTGAGTTGGTCCACTTGAAGATGGGATGTTGGAGTATTTTTCGACAATTCCACTCCTTGACCGAGGCTTTCTCCAAAATGAGTGCATGAAGATGCCAGCCATGAGAGGCTGAGGGAGGAACTCCACATTGAGTCAGGAGAGCACAGAAAGCTGTACAATGGTGTTCTGAGCCCTGGCCTGTTTCCAGTGAAGTCTCAAAAGGAGTTGCTGGAAGGCCAGTTCTTGTGTAGTGGCATGGGCAGTCCAGTGGGGCCAATGCCAGAGTCCTTCAAAGAAAGAAAAGGAGGTGGTGGGTACCCACAGATTTCTTTCACAATAAAGCTTACTCGGGAAAGAAAGGGCTGGAGCAAAGAGATAGCTGATTAGAACAGTGTTAAACTGTGCTTCTTGAAAGTTTTCTCCATTTGTAAGACCTGAGATGGTTCCCCTCTCCCGCACCTTGTGTGTGTGTGTGTGTGTGTGTGTGTGTGTGTGTGTGTGTGTGTGTGTGTGCCTGTGTGTGTGTGTGTGTTTGTGTGTTTATTTTGTGAGACAGTGCCTTGTTTTGCAGCCTGGCCTAAACTCAAGATCCTTCTGCCTCAGCTTTCTCAGTGCTGGGATTATACGTATGCACCACCAATTTGGCTGGCTATGACAGACAAACAGACACACACACACACACACACACACACACACACACACACACACACACAGTGTCTTCAGGCATCTAGTCATATTGTTTCTCACTGTCAGCCCCTCTGTTTGCAGCTGTAGTTAGGAAGCATTCCTTTAAAGCTCAGCTCTGAGCAGAAACTGTGAGTGCTGCAGGAGAGGAGGCAGAGCATCTATGAGCATGAACATCTATGTTGACAAGGAGACACCTGATCCTGCTTCATGCTCCAGTAGTTCCAGCATTAGAGATATTCAAATTAGAATCAGCATTCCTATGGCAGAAGGCTCCTGTCGTAGAAAAGACATTGAGGTTCAAATAGAACAATACGAAACAACAAAATATTGAGGATGACTGATTGTCACATTACTATGAGTACAGGTTCAGAGTCTCATTACACCCACCTATTGGGCCACTCTGACTGCTCCTGGGGACCATCCTGAAATCTTCCGAAAACTCTGACCAGAGACTGATGCCTTGCTTTTCAGAGAGGAGGTCTTGAGTGGCTGCTCAAGTGAATGCCACCCAAGACAGAGTGAAGATGGGGTGATCCTTTGGGTCTGAGATGCTGCTGGCATTGGTAACAACTGCTGGGATAGATAGGACAGATGACCAAAATCACTTATTTGGCCACCTCTGGTTCTTCTTCTCCATGGAGGAATGCAGACCCTAAATATGACTCCTGTGAGTCTACACAAAACCCAAGTCAGAGATAGTACCAAGATTCTGCTATTTAACAAGAAAGTTTAAAGACATGGTTTCTACAATTAAGATAACTTACCTTGGAAGTACTCAGGGATTAAAGGAACTCTACAAACACATCAAAAAAAAAAAAAACATGCACATGTACTTATACAGCTAAACACTGCCTTTAATGGAACACCTATCTTGCAACTTACATTTGAAATCCTGATTACTTTGCCTATGGTTTTAAATCATTGTGGTCAAAGGGATGAATATTTCATGAATGACCTGAGACACACAGTGAATGGAGATAGGTGCTTTAATTTCACAGGGCTGTTGTGAAAACAAGTGAGATACTGTCATATAAAAACAAGTTCCAGGCTCTATAGTATATGATTATGAAGCATCATATTCACTTGCTTGCTTCTTGAATGTCTCCTCATGCATTTTTTGTAGTGACTCTGCATTATTCTAATTGAATTGAGATCTGTTTAATCATTGCCAAATTGTTCTTCATTCTTGTTTTCAGCTATCTAAATAAAGCTATTTATAAACATTTCTGCCTGGCTAGCATTTTTTTTCTTTTTGAAATGCTTCCTCTGGATGAATTCCTGGAAGTGCAATAAATGGGTCTAAATAGAGTTGAGACATTCTTGCTTAAATGATGGCTGCCTTCTTAGCTTACCCAAACAACTAGTTAATTATAATATGCCATGATTCAGATGAATTAAGAAACTAATTCTAATTGTGGTAGTGATAGCAAGTCAGCATATATAAAACCAGTTGTGGTAATTTTCAAGACAGGAGGTACATACAACAGAAAAGCCTGGTTAAGGTTTGACTTACCAGTTCAACTTTGCCACTAATGGACTGCACGAGCGGACCTAACTCAATTTACTTAACTCACTTTTGGCCTTAGTTTCATCCCCTACAAAGTGGAGTCCAAAGTCTTTTCCAGATCACATACTGGCTCCATAGGGAACAAAGGCCCTTCTCCTCCAGGCAAGCTACCTGAGGAAAAATGATTGAGAGAATTCACCTCTGAGTAACCTTCTCAGGGCAAAGAGCTTCCAAGTCCGGTCATTATGTTATGCTATCATAACGCCTCAGCATGGGTGGGGAGGGTGAGTGGCTGCTGGTAGCTGGGTGCAAGAGAGATGCCCTCTCTCCACACATCAACAGTTTTAAAAACAGGCTGTGAATCCCACCGTGCCCTCTTTAGCGTGGGAGAGCAGGAATCAGGCCACCCTGACCTCGTGTTCCAGAGAGGTTGCCAGGAAGCCTGAGGAACCTCCTCTGGATGCTAAGGCAGCACTCTTGGCAGCTCTGAGAGGAAGCAGAGAGGGCAGGGCAGTGAGTTAGTACCAAGAAAGAGATGAGAATACAGCAGAACAGTGAGTTGAATTAACCCCTGAGTGTCAAGCTCAGAACTTTCAGAAATGACCATGTAATTATTTTAGAAAAAGCAAGTAAACCAAACAACAAGTGATCGATAACCTCCCACCACACCCACATACTAACCTTATTCAAATTTCATTCACTTTAGAAACAATAACACTTAAGAAAAAATAAAGGGCCAGATTGTAGCTCCGTGGTCTTGCCTAGCACATAAAATGTCTGGCATTCCATTTCCAGCACCGCAAAAAAATTAACTATATGAATAAATCATCATGTTTATACTTTGCAAGGAATTATAAACTATTCCTTAGATTCAGTTCTGGAGTTCCTTGTTTTCATATTTCTTCTCTATTTCTCTGGCAGGGATGCCGAATCTAAGACCCCAGACTAGAGGTCATCTACAAAGACAAGAACGTGAATGATAAAGGCTAAGTGTCACCAAACTCAGCGTCTCTGGATTTTCCTAACCATCCATGGCCTCCCTTCCCTGTAGGCCTCAGAGCCCCAGTTCTGGACCGAAGCCTGATCACCCTGTCTGTTCACCTGTGCTCTATGATCACCTCCTTTGAACCCTGATGCCTCCTCAGATTCACTCTGATCTTGCTTGCACTTTGCACCATGGCAAACCACTTGCTGTGAGCTGTTGTGTACTTTTCCCTGGCTCTGACCCAGAGGATTCTTGCTCCTGCTTCGTAGTCTAGTCAATGCTTGCATCTGCCACCTTTTAAGCCTTAGCTAAAACATCTCCTCCAGAGCCTCTTTAGCATTCAGACAGTTCTAAACTTGCAAGAGCTGTATGCTTCAGAGCCAAATATTTTATATTGGTTTGTATGCTTCAAGCATTCAGCCAGAACTTAGTAAATAACTGTTTTGATACACACTGAATAAACAGGTAGGTGTATGTGCTAATATGTGCGTCACCATTTCCTCTTTAGTACAAGGTAAGTGGGAAGGTAGATGATAAAAGAATGTATAAAGCACTTGTAGGAACTTATTCAGCCATGTTTGTACTTAAAGTTGCTGGATGGAAATTCATCTAGAGCAGTGGTTCTTAGCCTTCCTAATGCTGGGCCCCTTTAATACAGTTCCTCACATTGTGATGATTCCCCAGTCATAACATTATTTTCATTGTTATTTCATAACTGTAATTTTGCTACTGTTATGAGTCATAATGTAAATATCTGTGCTTTCTGAAGGTCTTTTGGGGGTCACGACCCCAAGTTGAGAACCACTGACTTGGAAACCAGGCAAAAGGAGGTCAGATGGTCTAGGATCCCTTTCCCTTCCAAGGATCTAAATGAAACTAAAAGAAAAGTCCTTCAATACCCCGCTCCTAACACAGCCCACGACTTTTTCTTATACTTTCTTTCTTCTTACATTGGTTTTAAATTGAGTTGATTTCTTTTGTATGAGGGAGGAGGTGCTCTTGTGTGTAGAAGTCAGAGGACAGCTTGTAAGAGGCATTTCTCTCCCTCCACCACATGGGACCTGGCAATTGAACTCAGTTGACCAGTCTTGGAGACAAGAGTCCCTACCCACTGAGCCATCTCACTGGTCCACTTTCTAGCAACCGGGAACTCATTTAAGTTAACAAATTGCTCTTAAACAAATCCTGTTACTTCTTAGGAAGTCTAGGCTTCATTTATCCCTTAGTATTCTATTGTTACTCTAAGTTATTCTAAGTGTGAATCCCTCTGCAGAATGACTTGCTTGGGACAGTGAGCATTGAAGAATCATGCTTTGAATGAAGGACTCCTTCCAGGCATCACTGACACAGTTTAAATGCTAATCTGTGCTCCTGGGCAGTGGTCCACTGTTGGCCCTAGTTCTGAGCCCATAGGAACATAGTCTCCATAGTGAGGAGATCCTGGACAACCTTCCCAGACAAAGCTAGTTTCAAATGCTGGCTCTGTTATCAATAGGCTCTATTCTGTCTTTCAGGAAGTCACTCAACTCTGCTAAGCTTCTGGTTTTTCAACTATAAAAGGGTAAACATAATAGTAAATCCTCAAGATGTGAGAGCTAAAGTCTAGTGTGTCTTTGGGCTACTCTGGGGCTCCAGAGACTTGCTGTGGATAAAGGTGGATTGGCTGGTTACTGCTCTGACCTGAGTATGATGAGGGATGGTTTGGTCACAGGAGAGGGGGCTTGGGGACTATATGGCCAGATGTGTTGACTGTGGAATCCTGATCTACTGAGGTATAGAGCATCACAGCTGCCCCAGGACAATCATGAACCCATAGCCTGCCAAAATGAACGCTGGTTAATTAGATTCTGGCGTCTACTCCCTCTTCTAATAGAGGATCTTTTCTATTCCCAGTGGGCTGATCTGGGGAAAGTTGGTATGCTCTATAGAGCTGCAGAGCACACAAAAACTTTGAACCTTGGACAAGAAGTACAATGTCAGGAGCAGTGGTACACATCTGTAAATGATCTATCTACCCACATCACCTTTGGAATTAAAGCTCACAGAAAATTTTGCTCTCAGAGAATTTAGAGTACCCACCCCTGTGTGAGCCCAACCTCACCCTGTTAGATCAGGGTTTCAGAGGTGGTGATGGACAATGTTCGTGAAGTCAAGCTTCTGGGCCATCCGAAGTGGTCTCCTGGACAACAGCATCAGAATCACTTGGCCATTTACAAGAAATGTAGAATCCTGGACTGTACCCAGACCTACTGAATCTACATCTTTAAAAGATCATAACAAAATACATACAATGTGGAGTTTATCATAATAGCTTTTTTTAGTATACACATAAGTAGGTTCAAATGCATTCATATAATTGTATAGCCCATATCCAGGACTCTTTTTACCATCCAGAAATGGAAACGTGATACCTATTAGGCAACTCCCCACCCCTCATCCCCAGCCTCTGGCATACACCCAGAAACTGCATTTTTTAACAAGATTCCCAGCTGCTCCCTACACCTAGTAAATGTTTGGGAAGGAGGAACCAAAGTATAAAACTCAAAGATATTAAAACCGGAGCTTTGAATGAGTTTGTGGAGGCAGCCAGGCCACTCCACAGGGCAAAGTCAAGGATAAAATTATAGAAGCCAGTTGGTGGAACCATAGCAAATCCCTCTGGCTAATTCTGGTACATGGCCAAGTTTGACAGTGTGGCTTTGATGATCTATCTCCATAACCACTGAAATCACCTAGAGACTTTAAAACCATATCCATGTCTGGGGCCATCAAAAACCATCTAATTTCTAGAGGCAGGACCCAAGCACATAACTTTTTATAGGTTTCCTAGGGATTCTGGAAACTCAATATATTATCTATCTATCTATCTATTTATCTATCTATCTATCTATCTATCTATCATCTATCTATCTATCTATCTATCTTTCTATCTATCTATCAATAGCCATCTATATATATAGAGAGAGAGATTTATATGTCTTTTTATCTTTGGGGGATGTTTGCATGTATGTATGTGTGTATGTATATATATTATACTTCTAGAAAAATAATCCAATTTTTTCCTCTTGGGTTTCTTTATCCCACCTCCTTCCAGTCTGTGATGCCAGCCAAAGCCACCAGGGCAAGGAAACTGAATTAAATTATGGGAGCCAAATCCTCTGCTAATTTCCACATCTTTGATTTGCACACCAAATCTGACCATTCCACCATCGTCTAACCTGCCTGGGCATTCCGCTGTACAATTCCTAGCTCTGTGGTGACCGGTGATTTCAAATTTGCTGACATAACTGCACTTCAGCATCACCTGGAGACCCTGAGCAAGGCTGACTTTGGAGCACGGATTAATAGAGACTTGGCTCTCGACTGTCTTCTCTGCATCCTTGCGGCTGTTCACAGCAGCAGTCAGAATACCGACGTGCACGCTGTGACGGCACATACAGACAGTGGGAAGAACAGTCAGGTTTTATTAAACACTACTGTGGGGAGAAGAAAGAGGCTGGTAGGGTGCAGAGGATTCTGCAGTGTGTGGGCCTCAGAGGGAAAGGGTGGCTCCAGGCTGCTTGGAGCTGGTCCATGCTACAGTCCTTCTGACCGGAGTGATAGTTCTGGGTAATTCAAGCAAGTGAAGGAACTTGTGAACAAAGTTGTATTTGTGGAAAATAGCTCTTATTAGATGTAATCAAGCACATTAGATGTAATCCATTGTCTGCCATTCTCTCTCTCTCTCTCTCTCTCTCTCTCTCTCTCTCTCTCTCTCTCTCTCACTCACTGGCCTGGAATTTGCTGTGTAGACCAGGCTGGCCTTGAATTCACAGAGACCTTGCTGCCTCTGCCTTTCGAGTGCTGGGATTAACAGCATGCACCCCCAGATGTCTTTCTTTCCTACCACTGCACTGTGTTTATTTTCTTAGTATCATTTACCACAATTAGCAAGCAGTTCATATACGCATCATCTGTCTGCTCTTGCTAAAATAACAGCTATCTGTTTCTGTGTAAGATCTGGGTTCATTTGTCTTATCTCTTCCTTTCACAGAGTCCCATGATACATACTTGAAAGAATGAAATAAAGGACTTGGTGAACTAATGCTGTGATCACATTTGAGCCATCCAATGACCTTCTACCTGGCATCCCCAAACTGACTGTGCTAGCTTCTCTTTGCTATAACAAAATAGAGAAGATAATAAATTGATAAAGAGAAATGTTATTCAGGCCCATGGATTTGGAGGTTTCAGTTCATAATCAATTGGTCTGTTGCTTTGGGTCTGTAGCAAGGTAGTCTATCATGATGTGCAAAATCCTCATCTAACAGCCAGAAAGCAAAAAGGAGA